CAACGGGGAGAGACGGGGAAGCAACTGGGAGAGACTGGGAGGCAACTGGGAGACACTGGGAAGGAACTGGGAGACACTGGGAAGGAACCAGTAGGTCGCTGGGAGCACTGGGAAGGAAAGGAAGAGCTGGGAGGACACGGGGTGGCCCAGGAGACCTTCTAGGTGGCATCTGGGCAGCTTCCATGTAGCAACTGGGAGGCAACTGGGAGCCACTGGTGTCTCCCCATCCCACAGCGGCCATGGGGGACGAGACCCGGATCGTGGGTGGCCAGAGGTGCCAGAAGAAGCGTCACCCCTACCAGGTTGTCCTCTTGGGCCCCCAGAAGAACATCCACTGTGGTGGGGTCCTCATCGGGAGCTCCTGGGTGCTGACGGCCGCCCATTGCGACACTAAGAGGTGGGAGGGCCCCATTGGAGCAAGGAGGTGGCGCCCCATTGGTCAATGGGGTTAGTGGGAGGAGCCACGGGGGGATGGTCCAATAGGGGCTGGAGATGGTGAGGTTGGTCCAAGTGGTCCATGGTCAGTGGTGGGGTTGGTTCTGGTCAAGGCGAGGGTGTGTTGGAGGTCTTGACATCAACCAGTTGGGACTGGGAGGCAACTGGTCAATGGTGGGGTTGGTTCTCCTCAAGACAAGGTCATCTTGGAGCTCTCCCAGTTAGGACTGGGAGACACTGGGAGGCAACTGGGAAGGAGCTGGAGGTGAACTGGGAGCACTGGGAGCAGGCTGGGAAGCCACCAGTTCCCAACTGGTTGATGGGAAGAGGTCCCAGAAGACGTTGAGCTGAGGAGAACCAACCCCACCATTGACCAGCTGCCTCCCAGTGCCCCCCAGTGCCTCCCAAGGTCTCCCACCATGACCATCCCGTTGGGTTGACCACCACAACCACCCAGTTGGCCTCCCAGTATGACCCAGTTGGGTTCCCACCATGACCATCCCATTGGGTTGACCACCACAACCACCCAGTTGGGTTTCCACCGTGACCATCCCATTCCCACCTTCTCCTCCCACCTCTGGTGGGACCTGAGCTGGTGGGAAGGAACAAAACCAGTTCAAGGAGCCCATTGCACTGGTGTGACTGGGCTGAACCCATGGGAGGACCTCTGTGGTGACACCATCTCCTCACCATGGACCTTCCTGATGGACAAGGAGGCTCCACCATGGAGAAACAGGGAAGAACCCCCCTAGTTGAGCCTTTTGGTGGCCACTTGGACCTCCAGGTCCTCACGTTCTTCACCTTGAGGCCTCCGGTTGACCTCTTGGGTGGCTTTGGCCTCCGTTTCCCTGGAAGTTATGGAGGAGGAGAAGCTTTTGGCCCTCTGAGGAGCTCCTCCAGCCCCACCACATGGAGCAGAGCAGCTCACCCCACTCCTATGTCCATTCCCCAGCTCCATCCCCATCCGTATGGGCGACCACAGCTTGAAGACCAAGGAAGGGACAGAGCAATGTATCTCCTCGGCCAAGGCCTTCATCCACCCCAACTACAACCCCACCAGCCACGACAGTGACCTCATGCTGCTGAAGCTCCAGAAGCCCGCCCGCTTCACTGAGCACGTCCACCCGGTGGCCTTGCCCAAGAGGTGTCCACCCCCCAACACTGAGTGTGTGGTGTCAGGCTGGGGCAGCACCAGCAGCCCCGAAGGTAAGTGGGGACAGCTCCTTTCAGCACCATGGAGAGGGCTCTGATGGGGCGGGGGGGGCTTGGAGGTATCTCAATGGCTTGGAGGTATCTCATTGGCTCGGGGCCATCTCAATGGCTTGGAGGTATGTCAGTGTTTTGGAGGTATCTCAATGTCTTGGGGCCATCTCAGTAGCTTGAAGATGTCTCAATGTCTTGGAGATATCTCAATGTCTTGGAGGTGTCTCAATGTCTTGGAGGTATCTCAATGGCTTGGGGCCATCTCAACAGCTTAAAGATGTCTCAATGGCTTGGGGCCATCTCAATGGCTTGAAGGTGTCTCAATGGCTTGGGGCTGTCTCAATGGCTTGGAGGTGTCTCAATGTCTTGGGGCCATCTCAATGGCTTGGAGGTGTCTCAATGGCTTGGGGTCATCTCAATAGCTGGAAGACGTCTCAATGTCTTGGAGGCATCTCAATAGCTTGGGGCCATCTCAATAGCTTAAAGATGTCTCAATGTCCTGGAGGTATCTCAATGTCTTGGAGGTATGTTGATGTCTTGAGGCCATCTCAATAGCTTGAAGATGTCTTAATGTCTTGGAGATACCTCAATGTCTTGGAGGTACCTCAATGTCTTGGGGATATCTCAAGGGGAGACCTGGATCCTTCAGAGGTCCATTGGGCATCTTTAGAGATCTCCACCCCCCACCAGCTCCATCTCGGTGTCTTGAGGTCATCTCAATGTCTTGGGGGATCTCAATGTCTTGGTGGTACCTCAATGTCTTGGAGGTGTTTTGATGTCTTGGGGCCATCTCAGCATCTTGGGGCCATCTCAAGTGGAGATCTGGCTCCTTCAGAGGTCCATTGGGTGGCTTTGGAGATCCCCATCCCCTCCCTCACCTTGAAGGCATCTCCAATAGCATGATGCCACCTTTAAGGTGGAGAAGACCCCATTGGATGGGCTGGTCCCACGTGACTTCCAACCAAGCCCCATTGTCCCCAGGCTACTTCCCTGATGTCCTCCAGTGTGGTGTGGTCTACACCATGGCCAACGAGGAGTGCAGCAGGCTCTACCCCAAGGGCATCACCAAGAACATGCTGTGTGCTGGTGTCAGCACAGGGGGCACCGACTCCTGCCAGGTGGGTCTGGGGGGGCTTCATGGGTCCTGCCCCACGCCTCTGGGGTGGAGAACCTCAGTGGAGAAGAACTGGGGGGGAGGAATAACACTGAGAGGTCTCTTGGTGTTGGGGGCCAAGAGAAGCACTATGGGGACCATTGGGTGCTGTGGGGACTGTCTGGGTTCCATGGGTGCTATGGGGACCCCCAACCTCTATAGGAGCACCCTGGGTGCTATGAGGACCCATAGGCCATGGTGGTCCCCATGGCCTCATTCTACAGGCTATGGTGGTCTCCACACCTTGACCTCATCATCATGGGGGTCCCCAATGGAGAACCACGGAGCTTAAGCCCTCCCTATGTGCTGCAGGTGGGGTTGGTTGGAGGTCCCCACCATGGGGCCACCCCATGAGGTCCTTGTCTCCCATAGGGCGACTCGGGAGGTCCCCTCGTGTGCCGGGACGAGCTCCAGGGCATCGTGTCCTGGGGGATGCAGGTCTGTGGCCAACAGGGCAAACCTGGGGTCTACACCCGTGTGTGTGAGTTCACCCCCTGGATCCAGGACACCATGAGGAGGAACAGCCACATCTGAGCCACCAGCAGAAGGAAAGGTCTTCTCCTCCCACCCCATCCCACCCTGGAACCAGCAGGTGTCTTCTTCTCCCTTCTCCCACCACCTATGGCACCTTCTTGATGGAATAAAGCCCTGTGAAACGTGGCCACCATCATGTGGGTCCACCACGGACATGGTGGTCATAGGGAGAAGGAGGGGAGGACCATGGTCACGATGAGCGTGGGGAGGAAACTGGGGGGTGGTGGCCATGGTGGCCAACTTGTGGTCATGGATGTTTGGTGCTGGTGGCCATGGTGGCAACGTGGAAGCCCAGATGTGGTGCTGGTGGCCACGGTGGACAACTTGTGGCCATAGGGATCTGGTGCTGGTGGCCATAGTAGACAACTCATGGCCCTAGGGATGTAGTGCTGGTGGCCACGGTGGCAACCTACAACCACCTATCTACTGCTGGTGGCCATGGTGGACAACTCGTGGCCACAGGGATCTGATGCTGGTGACACCCTGCAACCACATATCTCCAATACCCACCTCCACAACCCAACATCACCCATCCCAGTGTCTCCATCACCCACCAATGTCCATATCCCACCATGTCTATATCCCACTTCCATAACTCCATAATCTACCACCTCCATATCCCACCGTGTCCGTAACTCCATAACCCACCTCGTCCATAATCCATCTCCATCACCCATCATGTCCATATCCCACCATGTCCATATCCCACCTCCATAACTCCATATCCCACCATCTCCATATCCCACCACCTCCGTCTCCCACCATCTCCACCCCTCCACCTCTAACCCCTCCCCATCTCCTCCCACCTCCTCCCCTCCATCCACCACCTCCTCCGAGGTGAGGCAAGTCCAGGCGGTGCCGGAGAAGCTCCAAAGGGATTAAGGGAGCGTCTGGGCGCCCATCGGACGCCTCCAGCTCAGCCCCGGGGTGGGACGTGCCCCGACGCCCTTATAAAACCCATTGGGTGCTCACGTGGGGTGGGACGGGCACCCAAAGGTGGCCACCGAGCCAAGGAGACGCCGCTGCCACCACCACGGTCTTCGCCCCACCGCTGGCCACCAAGGAGGACAAGGGCGAGGGGCACGGCCCCCGGCCCCCGCTGGGGCACAGTGGGGACCCACAGAGAGGTTTGCTGCTGCTGGTGGTGGTGGTGGACAAGGGGGTTCCAGCAGGGTTCTGGGTTGGGGTTGGTTCTTGGAGCATGGTTCGTTCCTGGTCTTCTTGGATCAAGGTGGAGGGGATTCCTCCTCACTGGTCGCTGTCCGAGTGTCCTTCTGCATGTTTGAGCCATCCTGATCTCCATCCTTCCTCCTTCTCCAGGTTTGAGCCATCTCTGATCTCCTCCTTTCCCTGTTCTCCAGGTCTTCTCCTTCCTCCATCTCCATCCCTCCCTGTTCTTCATGTTTCCTCCATCTCCATCCTTCCTCCTTCTTCATCCTCATCTCCATCCCTCCCTGTTCTTCATGTTTCCTCCATCTCCATCCTTCCTCCTTCTTCATCCTCATCTCCATCCCTCCCTGTTCTTCATGTTTCCTCCATCTCCATCCTTCCTCCTTCTTCATCCTCATCTCCATCCCTCCCTGTTCCCATCCTTTCCTCCATCTCCATCCTTCCTCCTTCTTCATCCTCATCTCCATCCCTCCCTGTTCTTCATGTTTCCTCCATCTCCATCCTTCCTCCTTCTTCATCCTCATCTCCATCCCTCCCTGTTCTTCATGTTTCCTCCATCTCCATCCTTCATCTCCATCCTTCCTTCCCCTCCATGTTTCCTCCATCTCCATCCCTCCCTGTTCTTCATGTTTCCTCCATCTCCATCCTTCATCTCCATCCTTCCTTCCCCTCCATGTTTCCTCCATCTCCATCCTTCCTCCTTCTTCATCCTTATCTCCATCCCTCCCCATTCTCCATGTTTCCTCTATCTTCCATCTCCATCCTTCCTTCTCCATGTTTCCTTCATCCCTATCTCCATCCCTCCCTGTTCTCCATGTTTCCTCCTTCCTTCATCTCCATCCCTCCCCATTCTCCATGTTTCCTCTATCTTCCATCTCCATCCTTCCTTCTCCTCCACGTTTCCTCCATCCCCATCTCCATCCCTCCCTGTTCTCCACGTCTCCTTCCATCTCCATCCCTCCATCTCCATCCTTATTTCCATCCCTTCCTGTCTCCATGTTTCCTCCTTCCTCCACCTCCATCCTTCCCTGTTCTCCATCCAGCCTCCTCCATCCATGATCTCCATCCCCTCCCCATCCTCCTCCAACCCCTCATAGGGCCCTCCCCACTCCATCTCCATGGTCCCCACCACGGGGCCCACCACCCATCTCCATGGGGAGCAAGGAACCTGCGCCCCATGGGCCCCATTTCCTTTATCTATGGGGCCCATGGCACATGGCCACAGGGAGTGGTGACCCACACCCATGGGTGGCTCCAACCCATGGCCATGGGAACCGTGACCCACAGTCACGTGGAGCTTTGACCCACTTCTATGGGGCCCACAAACCTTCTCCATGGGGAGCAGTGACCCACTGCTGTGAGGAACCAGCACCCGTGGCCATAGGTGCCTCCAACCCACGTCCATGGGGAGCAATGACCCCTGTCCATGAGGATCCATGACCCATGTCCATGGGTACCTCCACCCCATGGGAACCCCTGACTCAGACCCATGGGCAACCCCAACCCTCACCCAAGGCCACCAACCCCCCATATCCTTCCAACCCCTTCCCCTTGTCCATAGAGGAGATGACACCCCCCCATCCCAAGCTATCTCCAACCCCACCACCTTGAAGACCCATTGGGCCACCGCGTCCCCTATCTCCATAGTCCCACCAGCTCCATCCCATGGGAGGCATCCAAGGGCAGAGCGAGGTGCTGGGAGGTCAATGGCCTGGAGACAAGGAGGGGGAAGGTGGAGGACTTGGTGGAACCCATAATTACGTGGCCTCATTAAGGATGACTCTGCTGGTTGCTCCGATGGGCCCATGATGTCACCCATTGCAACAGCTTGACGGCGATGACAGGGCCAATGGGGTGGAGGTGGTGGGGTGGGATGATGGATCCCATCTTGCTCTAAGACCCCCCCAAACCCTCCATCTATGGGGGTCCCTATGGACCATCTCATCTTCTCCTGGGGGCAAAACCCCCATGGGAGGGGGGGGGCCATCTAACAGCTTTGCCCCACAGCGACCACAGCGATGGAGGTCCCCAAGCTATGGGGCACCATGAAGGTGCTGAGAACATTGCTCTTGGTGGTGTCCATGGGTGAGTCCAAGGGGTGGTGGGGTCGAACCACGGTGTGGACACGCGTGTGGGCGGCTCTAACACGCGTGTTCTTGGCGTGTCCTCCCTTGTAGTGACCTCGGCGGTGGTGGGGGACACGCGTGTGGTCGGTGGCATGGACTGTGAGCCCCATTCGCAACCATGGCAAGTGGCCATCTTGGACATGTACAAGCTCTACTGCGGTGGTGTCCTGGTGGACAAGGAGTGGGTGGTGACGGCGGCTCATTGCACCACACCAGGGTAAGGTCCATGCCCTCCTCCGTGCCCCCGAGGTGGCTCCTCAGCCACATCGTGGTCTTCATGGCTCCGTGGCGTTGTCCCATCCAGCTTATGGGCTCATGTGTTGTGGTCTTCATGGTCCATACGTGGTCCATGGCATGGTCCCATCCATGGGTTGTGGCCTTCATGGTCTTCGTGGTCTTCATGGGCCCATGAGGTGGTTCCATGGAGGTTCTGGGCCCGCTTGTCATGGTCTTCATGGGTCCATGGTGTGGTCGCATCCAGGTTATGGGCCCAGTGGTTGTGGTCTTCATGGTCCACGTGTGGCCCATGTTGTGGGGTCATCCAGGTTGTGGTCAAGTTGTGGTCTACATGTGTTCTGATACGTCATACGTGGGCCATGTATGTCCCATATGTGGGCCATGAGGTGTCCTACACATCTCCTCGGCCATGCTGTAGACCCCGTGTCCTACATGTGGTCCATGCTACATCCCGCTTATGGTCCATGATGTCCACACATGGTTCATGATGTCCTACACATCTCCTTGGCCATGCCACATCCTATATATGGTCCATGCCATGTCCCACACTTGGCCATGCTGCAGATTCCATGGCCCACATATGGTCCATGATGTCCTACACATGGTCCATGCCATGTCCCACACATGGTCCATGCTATGTACCACACATGGTCTATGATGTCCTACACATGGTCCATGCCATGTCCTACATATGGTCCATAACACATCCCACACATAGTCCATGATGGGTCCCACACATGGTCCATGCCATGTCCTACATATGGTCCATAACACATCCCACACATAGTCCATGATGGGTCCCACACATGGTCCATGATGTCCTACACATGATCCATGATGTCCTACACATGGTCCATGCCATGTCCTACACATGGTCCATGATGTCCTACACATGGTCCATGATGTCCTACACATGGTCCATAACACGTCCCACACATGGTCCATGCCATGTCCCACACATGGTCCATGATGTCCTACACATGGTCCACAACGTCCAGCTCATGACCTGTGATGCCCCACACATCTTGGCCATGCCCCATCCCACCATCACCCCACCATTGCGCCATGGTCCATCCCAGGTCCTACAAGACCCATGACAACCTTATCCTCTGTCTCATCCCCTTTCCCTTGACCACCACGGTGACCACCACATGGTGACCACCACCCCGTGTCCCACAGGATCACCAGTGTCCACATGGGCAAACACAACCTGTACACGCGCGAGAGCGGGGAGGTGCAGAAGATGGTGCAGAAGATGGTGGCTCACCCCAGCTACGACCCCACCACCAAGGACAACGACATCATGATGATGAAGCTCCTGACGCCCGTCACCGTCACTGAAAGGATCAAGCCCATCTCGGTGGCCTCCTGCCTGCCCCAGCCTGGGACCACCTGCACCACGTCGGGATGGGGAGCCACGACCTCCCCTGAAGGTACCCAAGTGGCTCCAGAGGCTCTTATGGAGGGCTTGGAGGTTCTTATGGAGGTCTTGGAGGGCTTGGAGGTTCTTATGGAGGTCTTGGGGATTGTTATGGAGGGGATGAAGGTTCTTATGGAGGTCTTGGAGGTTCTTATGGAGGTCTTGGAGGTTCTTACGGAGGCGATGGAGGTTCTTATGGAGGTCTTGGAGGTTCTTGTGGAGATCTTGGAGGTTCTTATGGAGGTCTTGGAGGTTCTTATGGAGGGGATAAAGGTTCTTATGGAGGGGATGAAGGTTCTTATGGAGGTCTTGGAGGTTCTTACGGAGGGGATGGAGGTTCTTATGGAGGGGATGGAGGTCTTCATGGAGGGGATGGAGGTTCTCATGGAGGTGATGGGCACATCAGGGTCATCTTGGTGCCATTGTCCATCTCCTCTTATGGAGATATGGGTCCCTTCCTGGAGATATGGGTCCCATCATGGAGATCTGTGTCCATCCACGGAGATATT